CCAACAAAATGACACAAAAACATATCAGTACATCCAAAAAGGAATTAGACAAATAAAAAAAAAGAAAATCATGTGGCAAGTGAAACCAAGGATCCTCAAGTTATTTCAACCAAAGCGACAAACATCAGTTGTTAGGGATAAGTGTGTTCTATCCTTTTCCAACAATTCCCAGTCGGAAGAATTATTAGACAGCATGGGATTAATTTCCACTGTTATGCTAATGATACTCAGCTATATCTGTCTACAAAGCGAGATGAAGTTAACCCATTACATAGATTACAGGCATGTCTCAAAAACAGAAAAACCTGGATGACAAAAATTTATAGTCTTTGGACCAGAGTCTTTAAAAAAAGCTGATTAGTCAGTCACTTGATTTGGATGGGTTTGACCTGATTTTAGATAATAAAAAGAAAAAAATCTTGGCGTTATTTTTGATCAGGACTTGTCATCTAAATCCCATATCAAAGAGGTTTCTAGAATTTCCTTCTTTCATCTGTGGAATATTGCAAAAATTAAAATGATCCTGTCCAGGAGTGATGCTGAGAAACTAGTCCATGTATTTGTTACTTCAAGACTGGACTATTGTAATTCTTTACTATCAGGAAGTCCACAAACTGTAGTTAAAAAGTCTTCAGCTGATCTAAAATGCTGCAGCCGATCAGAGTTCTGATGAAATCAAAAATAGAGATCATATCTCTCCTATCCTGGCTTCTCTTCAGTGGCCTTCTGTTAAATCAAGAATAAAGTTTAAAATCTTCCTTCTCAAATATAAAGCATTAAATGGCCAAGCTCCATCTTATATCAGAGATCTGATTGTTCCTTATGTTCCTAACAGAGCACTTTGCTCTCAATCTGCAGGTTTACTAGTGGTTCCTAGACTTTCTAAAAGAAAAATCGGAGGCAGATCTTTTAGTTATCAGGCTCCTCTCCAGTGAAACCAAACATCAGTTTTAGTCCATGAGGCAGACACCCTGTCTACTTATAAGGGTAAGCTTAAAACTTTCCTTTTTGATAAAGCTTATATTTAGAGTACCTCAGGTTATGCTCAGCTATCTCTACAGTTATGGTGATATAGCCTTAGACTTATTGAGGACATACTGTAGGGACCCCCATTTCATCATTCTGCTTCATTCTATCTCTATTCTCCCACTCTGCAGAATCTGTTAGTTCAATCTCTAACGTTATGCCCTCTCATAGTAGCTTCGCCGCATCTGTTCCTGTTCTTTGTTTATACATGTTTGAGATTTTTTACTGTAGTCCTGTTTATCTAACTGTGACTGGTAGGATGTGCTCTCTTCATCCTCTAACATGGGAGCTTGCTCGGAGCTTGCCCGCCTGGCTGTGTGTTTCCTGGAAGGGGCTACCTTTTGCAGTTGCTTTTTGTGTTTCTTCTTCTGTCTCCTTGAACCCCAGTCAGCCTCGGTGGATGGCCGCTCACTCTGAGCCTGGTTCTGCTGGAGGTTTCTTCCTGTTCAGAGGGAGTTTTTCCTTTCCCTCTGTCACTATAAGCATTCTTATTGTGAGGGATTGCCTTCCAGTCAATGAGCCGATGGTTTTCCTTAGATAGAAAACTTTAAATGTTGACTGTATGATCTGGTGAAATGTAAAGTGCCTTGAGATGACATATGTTGTGAATTGGCACTATATAAATAAACTGAATTGAATTCAATTAAAAATTTTTTGATTATTGGTTAAACCGGTTTTTTTTTTTTTTTTTTTTTTTTTATAATGCAATACAACACATTCTTTTCCAAAGAAAAAACAATTTCGCCTTTAATAAGGGAAGTGTCCAATTTTTTCTCATTAACTACCATATTCCCTACTGTTGTTCTTTTTTATTTGTCTCCAAGTACGATATATGCCCATTGAGACCATTTGCAAGTGACGGTGTCTAAGCATTACAAGTCAACTGAGCTCTAACTGTGTCTTCAAAGCCAGGAGGCTGGTGTTTTTATTTTCAAAAGATATTGTAACAGATTTAAAAGAATTATGGTTTGGCATGTTGAGAGTTTGTGTTTAAGAATTCTAATAAAACTGATGTGATCACAGGCTGGAGTTCAATTAGCCTTAAGGATTATTTTGTTATAAACCCAACCCCTGGGCATAAAGGTCTATTACAGCAGCTGTGGATAGAATGAATAAGTATGTCTTAGATCGAGTGGGAATCGTTGGTCTAAAAAAAAGAATTGAAAAAGGAAAGTGAGAGTAAGAGGTTTGGGAAAATAAAAGTAAAAAAAAAAAAAACTGAAATGGGTCACCCAAATACATTTTGATGACAACAAAATAGAAAGGTAATCCCAACTCCCAGTGCTTAAATAATCACAGACAAAAATTTGACATGCCATTTCAACATAGCAGTAAGACAGATCCATTTCCATCAATAAGGATTAATTGAAAATGTTATTGCAGAATCAATAACATTGCTTCCACACACACGGACGCACACACTCACACACACACACACAAACACACACACACCTTTGAAAATTAATTTACCAGCATAGGCTGACTAAATCAATATTACATTAAGTTAAGCCGTTCTTGGAGATTTATGAAACAACACAACCTTACCTTCCTTAAGTAACGCTAAAAATGGAATGTGTCGGCTGCTAAATCACCTCAAAACCAAACATCAATAATATGTATGAAATGTCACTGATGAGGAATACTATATAGCTTTATGGTTATTATTGCAACCTTTATGCAAGTAAAATTATTTAGATAAATAGAAAAGTGAGTTACATTAAAGGGACAGTGTCTAGTAAATTTAGCATTTCATTAGCAAATTTCAAGTATCAAAATAATAGCGTTTTCATAGCCTCAGGTCATGTTCCCAAAAAAAACAAAATTTGTAAAATGTAATTTAAAAGCGTTAGTTTAACGCATTCTAACAGAACAATCAAGAAAATTTACACCACACTCTTAATTTTAAATTGTTACACAAACAGCGATTAAAGTATTTTCACATTCTTGCCTGTCATATTGTTTTTAAAAGGCAAAGACATTCTTCATTTCTCATTATTTGACCATTTCCCCCTTTTTCATACGATTCCTTACAGATATTAAACAATAAATGCTCTGTCACCACTTATTCACCTTCTTTACAATAGCAGATGGAAAAGCCTTTATTGATATTTTGATAATGAAACTTGCCATGGAGACATTTTGTTTAGCTAAACTGTAACTCTGTTCAATGGAAAAAAATAACAGTCATTTCAGCGCAGAATGAACAAAAACTAAAGTTTCATAGTCATACCAGTTTTGGTCATAACACTGACTGTAACTTTTTAATCACCTCGGATAGACTGATAATACAATTCACTGAGTAACCAAGACTGCTCAGTGCTATAAAAAATTACAGCCTCATTCTAAAAAGTTAAAATATAAAAGGAATAAGACAAAATAATATATACTGATGAAAATACGAAGGGACATTTATATCTTATTAGTAAAGGAAAGTTTACTAGCCTTTTTATCTTGCTCTATATCCAAAACTCCACTCTACTCTTTTTTTGGATATACTGTAGTATGAGCATTACTTTGGAAGAAATCAAAGAATGTTTTGAATTAGACTACCCCTTAAAAGCTGGAGGAAAAGGAAATCTTAAAGTTAGACCAATATATTTTTCCTACTTGGCTGGTGATGTGATTTGTTTGAACGTACAGTTTACTCTAGACATGAGGGCTGTAGGTGTAGTACGAGCACAGCAGGCTGAGTAGAGTTTGTCAGAGTAGCAAGTGCCAGACATATTGAGCGAGCATTTATTGGACTGGAATGCACACCAGTCTCACTCTATACACTTAGATTGGCAACTGTGGGCCGAAGTTGATGGCATTGAAAAAATAAAGTATATTACAGCAGTACTGGGTAGCACTGCTGCGATTTGCAGTACCAGCTTCCTTATATTCCCATAAATAATGTGTCAAACTAGTAAGGTCACTTAAAGATAATGTTAGCTTGTGCAAGTAAACATCACCTTAAAGTCTATTAAGCCTGTCCCTTCGATATCCACTTTAAGTCCAGTCATTCAAATTAAGTTTTAACAGTTTTAACTGTTTTTTGTGCTCATGTCAGCACAATCCAATCAGGTAGTGGGATTTTCGCTAATATTTTAGTTGTGTAGCTCTAGTAGGCAAGTCAGTCATCCCTCCTTCATGTGCACACACATATTCTCAGCTTATAAGAGCCATGCTTAGCTCTGCCCTCTTGTCTAATCAAAGTCATAAAACCATTTCTGGGGTAAATCCAGCCCTCCCCGCATTTCACCCAAATCTGAGTAATTTTCATGTCTGCAAAAGCCATACAAGTAGGCGACCATCAGCTTCTTTCAGCCCATATTTCAGTGTTTTCATGTGTTTTATAATTTATTTTTAGCTGATATATCAACGATCAGTGATTAAGCCATCTAGGTTGAAAAAGCGAGTTTGTTAGGTATTCTACACCGGCTAACTCTGATTCAGCAGTTATGAGCTGCTGTTATTTTCCCTAGAAGTCATGCTGTCTGCAGAGAAATGTTCCATGTCCATCGTTTGTTTCAGCAGGTTTTACGAGGGTGGTGGAGGTTAATGTGTTCCCTCCCCTCCTCCATTCAGAGACAGTACAGTGTCACTCTGCCGATCCGTAGTAGGTCGTACAAGTGGAAGGGGAGGCATCTGTCTTTTGTTTATTACTTTAGTGGAGCACTAGATTGAGATGAATCTTACACACTTTCCAGTTAAGATGCATGTAATTTTGTACGAATCATTATTGGTTGATGCCTTTATTGCTTAAATCAAATGTACTTTCTTATCCTCAGAGAAGTGTAACTTATCTTCTATGATTTAGGATTTTATCAGCGATTGCCGTGAACATTGAAGAAGATGAATTATTTAAAAGTGTGACTACTGTGGCTAGTGTTAAAAAAACATACCTGATAGTAAGTCCACCCGGTAATTTCTGGCAGATGTCGTAACGTTGATACGAACAATAATTTTTCCATCTTCCAGCGAGATTTCTAGGGTGCCATCATCAAGATTGCTGAATAGCAGAAGGCCGTCAGGGTTCCATGTACGAAACTGGAAGCCCACAGACAATGTGTTATGATTGGCTCGCCCGGGCAGCTGCAGGAAACTGGTCGCATTGAAAAAGACGGGGAAGGTGTGGGTCTCCACGCAGGTGAAAGACAGGTTACGCTGCTAGGACAGATTTAAAAAGGAAGAGGAAAATAAGGGTAAATAGAAAAGCAGTACATCATCAATAACTAGAACAAACTCTTACTGTCTGTTTTCTTAAACTCATACAAAAATAGTTTTATAAACTGAACACTTTTGCAGGCATCCAATGCTTTAATATATCCTCTTAGCCCAAACAGTTGCTAAATTATAAAGTTGTTCACTTTATAATTTGCTTCTGGCTAACTCTGTCTTTTACAGTGAGTTTGAGTAGGGCTATGGGTGAATCCTCTCTACTGGACATGGAATTCATTGCAGAACTGTCAAACTTGTGTTTTAAGGATGGCCTATAGCAAATAACATTTAGTACATAATCTGTTTCCCTTTTGGATTATGTCTCCATTTTTGATTTTGAGAAATGTGAGAATGGATATAGGTTGATTAGTGGTGAATGGCTAGGTCAGTCAGGGATTTTGTTTATTATTGATTTAATTCATTTAACAAGCTCTTCGTTGATAAAGTATGTTAAATAAGAAGTAGATATTTGCAGATAAACACGAAGAGAAAATAAATATCTGATGCAGAACATTACTGCATAGAGTTCGAGGATAGCAGGTTTTTTTAATGTTTGGGTACAATAATGACAGGCATACTGTTGCACATCCACAAGGGGGGCACTGTAGCCCGGAGAGTGTTTGTGACCTTCAGTCATGAAGGTAAGAACAAGTGTTCGTGTGCACAGTGTTGTCACTGACAACATCCATCCCAGAAGCACGATTCGCACCATTGGTTTACTTGCACATGCGCAACCAGATATACATTCAGGTCGCCCTCGATTTTATTTTGTAAAAAATACCTAAATTCAATTTTTCCCTCCCCAAAAAGAATATGCTTTCTAAACTATAATGCTATAAAGGTTAATAATATATTTTCTGAAAAAATATATGCCTAAATATCCGATCTGAACATAAATCTAGTCTTTTTGAGTTCCATGTTTTCCTTTCGTGTTAACATTTTGGTATATGTTGCGTAATCTAAAGAAAGAAACAACTGAAATTCAGATAGATGTGGTTTAATCATCGTACTAGTCTGAGCACGTCTGATGATTAGGTCAAACAAGCAGTTAGTCATAAAACATTTTTTAAAGATGTGTATTTGCATTCTATAGTGATTTAAGGATGACTGCTTTTAGTACCATAGTTACATTATTTGTGGCGACCTGGATGTATATTTGCTTGCGCATGCACAAATGAGCTGATGGCTAATCATGCCTCCGGGACAAATCGGGTAGTGACAGCCAGAGATATAAAAAATAAAAGCAGGCTGCTAGCTGAAGAAAAGCTTATAGCAAAACAAATAAATGAGTGCTTTAAATAAAAAAATAAATAAAAAAAGAAACAAAACAATGTGTTCTTTTGCACCATGTTTTTTCTCCAACACTATTTTCATTTGATCACTGCTGCACTTTATGAAATAGAAATGTTAATTTACTCTCTGAAAAGATGTACTAAACGAAATTTTAGTATACACAGTGTCGTATACAAAAGTGTATACAAAATGACAATAAAAGTTGTCTTAGTCCAGGTGGTTTAGAAACTATTTTTTGTTTGTTTTCTTAAAGGTTTCTCTCTGCTGTGGGGTTACACCTGCCTTGGTGCGCAAATAAAAGTCTTTACTCCGTGGGGTTCATATCCTCACAGTGCTTCCTTCATGCATATGTGCATTTACCTAAGGAGATAAATGTGCTTAAAAATACTGTTTCCATGGCCATCTGCAGAAAGATTTTAGCGGAGAGAAAGAATAGATCTCAGTCAAATGGCCTCTACGCTCATAAGAAATTAGCTAGTCAGCCTGATTTTCAGAGTATCTGTGATTTTTTTTTTAGAATAATGACCCATTATGCTGAAAAACACTGGCAAGAACACTGGTTAGGGATGCCATTTGTTGTACAGATCCATTTACTGAAGTACAAAGTAAAAAATGATAAAATAATCTCATCCTTTGTCCTGACATTCTGAAGTCTAGGAGGTGTTACAGGGTTCCCCCTTATTAGAGGATCCCTAAAAAGATCCTTTGTCGCAAATGCACTCCTCACTCCCTTGAATTCCAAAATGTAAAGCACACATACATATCACCTGAATTGCTCAAGTTTCCTTAGACCTTTTTTCTTCATTTATGTTTCTTTTATTATTATTATTTGTCAGGGTCTTTATCACTGTCTGCCTGGTTAGCCAAATATCTATTCTATTCTATTACCTATACAGGGAAAAATATTACTTGATTGCTAATGACATTGGAAATACAGTAGGATGATGAAGATTCTCAGACATCCAGGTCATTTCAAAAACGTTAAAAAACAATCCCCTGGAATTAGTTTCCAAGTTTAAAGAGGTTTCCCTTCCCATCCAGAAATCTTTTTTAATTCAAAATGTCAGAAATAGTGTTGAGTTCGAGGCTTTTTTAAAGTAGACCAAAAACAAAGCCTTGTTTTGGCTTAGAAAATTTAGCAGGAAGGCGGGATAGCGGGAAGGAATCAACTCAATATTAATAATGGTGTCATGGATGTTGTAACAAACAAAATCATGGTGCATTAAAATAGTGATTTCCACATCCTTTATTCCAATATTTTATTTTCAAGGTTGCAGAAATTTTTGGTGTACAGTAACAATGCACTTTGTTTATTAAACTAGTGCTAAAACCATAATTGGAAAAATTGATCATGGAAATAATAACTAATTTAGTAATCAAATGCTGGTTAACTGCATTACACAATTTAAAAAATAAGAATAAATAATACATTGTATTTAGGATGTAATATTTACTTTTTCCTACAAATCTATGAAGACACTGTTGCAGTAATCAATTCTACTAAAGACAAATGCATGAATGAGTTTTTCTACATTATTCCTTTAATCCGAGAAACATTCTTCAGGTGATAAAAGTCTGACTTAGTAACTGCCTTTTTGTGCCTCTGAAGGTTCCAGGCTGAGTCCACCATGACATTGACATTTCTGCAATAATCAGTGGTTTCTAGCTGTAGAAAAGCTGAAGCTGTGAGCTAACCCTGGAACTCTCCTCCTTTGGTCTGAAGATTATTACCTCGGTTTTGTTTTTGTATAGTTGTAGAAAATTATGATGCATCCACATATTGATCTGTTCTAAGCATCTACCCTACACTCTGATGGGTTTACTGTATGGTCACTTGGTGACAGGGGGAGTGGTGGCCCATTAGGGGGAGTAGTGGCCTAGTGGTTAGGGCATTGCGCTTGGATCCCAGAGGTTCTGAGTTTGTGCCCTACTCCCACGGACTGCCACTCCGGGTCCCTGAGCAAAACCCTTAACCCCAACACTGCTCCCTTGGTGTTGGACAATGGCAGCCCACTGCTCTCCAAGGGGATGGTTTAAATGCAGCGAGTTGAATTCTATTTTATTCTGTTATGTAAAACTGTGTGTCGTCTGCAAAGTTATGGTAATTGCTCTTGTTGTTTGCTATAATCTGAGCTAAGGGGAGCATGTAGATGTTGAATAAGACGGGCCCCCTGATGGAGCCTTGAGGAACCCAGCATGTGATTTTTTTCTGGTCTCTGATTTAAAGTTTTCTACTGACACATAGAAGTCCCTGTCCTTCAGGTAGGATTTAAACCAGTCCAGTGCTGTACCAGAATGGACGACCCAGTTTTCCAGACGCTCTAATAAAATCAAGTGATTGACAGATCAAATGTTGCACTGAGATTCAATAATACCTGCACCTTTGTACGTGGAATATTTGCATCTTCATGTGCCAACTCAGACAAGAATTCACTTACAAAGCTGGAAGTGTCTAGCTTCTTGCGACGGGCCAGGTCTGTAATGTTATCTCCGTTGTAGTTGATGCTCTCCATGCAGCCTTTGAAGTTTTTTCTTCCACCTCCCACAGGCTTCCCACTGTATGGCATCCCCCCAAAACTTAACTAGAGAGACAGGGAGAAGGGGACAAAGTGGAAAAATAATAAAACATAAATGATTTTCAATTCGTTTAGACATTTACATGTTTTATTTTAAAGCCAGTCGTTATTTTGTGAAGACACAGAGGCACAGTGTTACAGAATAAGATGGTAGTTAACACTTCTTTAAGAGCCAAGTTTCAGATTAGTTTTTCTTTTCTTCAAGTTTAAACTTAACAAGTGTCATTTCTGTTTCAAAGTTCAATGCGAAAGAAATACAATTACATAAAGTTGGCTAAAGAGAATACATATATGATGTATTGGACAACATGGGGTTCTGTTATGGCTACCAAACTGATTTACTGATTATTAAAGCTCATTGTTTTTTCAGTCTTTTGTCAGCAGGCAAGCTTTAAATATATTATTTAAAAGAAAACATGTGGAGGTGGAAAATATCAGACAGGCTATGTCAATGAATTGAAATTTTTCCAGAACAACATTTGATGTGCTGAGGACCAGACTGAAGCCAGAGTGACTACAGTACTTAGATGCCTATAATGATGATGTGGGTCTGCAGTTAAAGACTGGGTGAGCGTAGGCAGGGAAATCTTTTGATGACCTCTGCTAATGCCTGTAAGGAAGTTTACTTGGAAAAAATCTAATAATACTTTTAATGCCAGTAAAGAGATTCTGATCTTGTTTGACTTTTGTTAGCTGCCTTTTATCCTTCTTTTACCCATTTAGCTTATGCTTTATACTGTACCACTCCCTTCATGCAAGACTGTTCTACTATCTGTTGGACAGAGATTGTGGCCAACTTTGAAAATATTATTTCAGTTTAAGGTCACTCATAAAGCTACATTTTTAGTTGTTAAGAGATTTTTCTTCCCTGTTCTTCTAGGCATCCTATATAAAAGATCATCACAATAGGTATTGATTTCTTTCCAAAGAAATTACCAATCTACCAGTATCTTATCACAATACCTTAAGTTAATCGTTACCATGGAGAGGTATTTTCCTCAACAGCAAGACATTGCAAAGAAGGGTTCTCTGCACGGAGCCCTTTTGAACAACTTTGCAAGCTGTTCAGTAAATAACTTAACCCTGATGCAGCACTCTGTGCAACATGATATACCAGTGATTACAGTCAGTGGAAATCAAGAACATCCTTCTTTCTCATCATCACTAGAAACAACACCAGAGTGGCTTTCTTTAAGTGACAAAAAATACAATTTGCATTTGATTCACCAAAAAAAAATCTAATTTTGCTCTCAGCAATCAGCTGATGTGTAATTCAGAGTTTTGCTTTTTTTGTTTTAGCTGTGAGCCATATTCAATATAGGCCAGTATAAGAATCTGTATGTATGTCCGTCCGTCCATCCATCCATCCATCCATCCATCCATCCATCCATCCATCCATCCGTCCATCCATCCATCCATCCATAGGCTACACCCTGGACAGGATAGGCTGCCAGTCTATCACAAAGGTCTATACATGCAGAGTACATGTTACCTGACATGGAGTGTGTTTGGTTGTTTGTGAGAGCTGCTTTTTGAGCAGCCACTGTGGGCTTAATGAGAGTGTAAGCTGCAGAATGGGGCCAGCATGGCTAGACCAGCTTCAAAATCTATAATGATAAACCTCCATCGATCCACACCATCTACATATCATGAATCAACTAACACTTCTGTTCCTTTATTCAGCAGTCCCGAACCAGATATGCTGACACAATCAAAATTAATAATCACGGCTTCACTGCCAAAGTTTTGTTTTTGTTTATTTTCAATGAGGAGTGACAAAATAGTGGCTGTTCAAGACTTTTCTACCATTGCTAATGTCATGGTGGTCTTTTAGTAAAGGTTGCCTACAGGGAAATTTGTAACCAAATCTTTGCCACTTTTATCCAAAACCTTACTTAAGGCAAAGCTATTAGTTATCATAGAATAGAATAGAATAGAATAGAAATGCCCTTTTTTCTACAATGGAGAAATTCAGGCAGGGGCAAAGAAAGCTTACAGGTACACTCAAGAATAAATAATTTCATAAAAAGAGCTAATTCTAAAAGTTAAACTTTACAGCATAAGGGAAAAAGACATTTTAGGAAAAAGTCCTATAATGGATATGTTATCTTATCTCTTATACGATATCTTATCGTTGACAAATGTATGAATTGATACAGTATACCCCTAGATATAAATGCAAACATTTGTATTTAACATTTCCTCCAATCTACCCCATTTTGTATTTTTGGCAGCATTGTAAAATGAATAAAAAGAAGGGTACATGAAAGAAAAACAGATCTGGTTGAAACTTAATGAATTCAGTTTCAGCCAACATTAAAAAAAAAATCAATTTGAGCAAAATCCACCTTTTACACCAAAATATGAAAAAAAAGCCTTGCTCAACATTGCCACTGGAACTGAGAGAAAAAAGCATCAAAGGAAATACACAATGGTTAGTGGGGAACAAATGTGATGTGTAAAGCGTAAAGGTTAAGACATGGACAGGAACAAACAAGCTGGAGTGCGAAGTGCTGAAGGACAGTGCTGATGAAAATGTAAACTGTTTCATATTTTTTCTACAGTTGTACATGTGTCTTTGTTTTTTTTTTTTTTCTTTCAGACACAGTTCAGGGCCCTAAAGGAGGCTAAGATAATAGAAGAGGCTATGGGACTGTCAGTCAATGTGTCTGTCTGTCAGTGTGTGAATGCCTGCTGTTGTTTGTGCTGTGGCTATGCTCCAGCAAGCTCTGTAATTACTGCCAAGGGTGGACTTTGATGCACCCGGATATTTAGTCTACAAGCTGGAAGCCGAAGAGAACCTAAAAAAACAAAACCCCCAAAAAACAACATCTCACACACAGAAAATGGGAAGTCTGAACTATAGAGGTCCACTCTGACTAATAGTTGATCACAATCAGCAGTCTGTAAAGACAATTAACATGCATTCACAGATCCACAGACAGATCCCTCCTAATAGCACAGAAATATCCACCCTCTAAAGCTACAGAACAGCCGGTGCTAGAGATTTCCCTGTAGATCATTTAAGCCAACAGCTTCTGTTCTGATTGGACTGTGCTTTGCCTTGCCCCTTTTCTTAGCCTCCCATCTTAACACTGGATTAGTTTAGCCATTCCACCACATCCATTTAAAGGTCAAACCATAACAAACAAACATGTATCAAATCAAACACACCACAACCAAACACATTAAAGGACAACCATTGTGTCACGTTTGGTCTAAGCGTATGCAGTAAAACTGCATGCCGACTTTTACAGCCAAATCTATTCCACATTTCTTTTTTTCAGCATTATTTGTTAAACACAATGCATTTGTTAATTGTTGAATTTAATCATTTGTGAATATAGATTAGCACCATTGCACAAAAAGAAGCCAATATTTAATTTAATTCCTGTCAAGTATCGATGTACTGTACTGACCACCAGAGATGAGAAGTTAAAATGCTGTTGCAAATCAGTGAAGTGATGGGGCAGCAATGGTGATGAAACAGCAACACTGGAAAGAAAGTAACACAGCATCATAATGGAATTCTAATACCATATATGCAGGGTATACTGCCTTGAAGCTTAGTGATTGTAAGACGACCTTTTTTCGGCCTTAAGGTGTGTTTTTTTTTTTTTTTACAGGGTTTAAAAATACATCCGTTCATAGTCCTATGGTTCTTTTTTACATTTTGACAAATAATAGAAAAAAAGATTGGATTTTCTTTTGGTATAAGCCTAATGTCATAACCAACAAAGTGTGATGCAAGGGCTCCACTTAATATAATATTACAAATGTATCATTATCTCAATTTGAAAGATATGAAAATTTGCTTGGAATACAATATGTAATAAAGTATGCAATAAAATAAGTCTGTCTACGTCTAATATGTATATTAGTTATAATAAACAGTATAAATATTTGTTGGTATGGGATTTGAAACAATTTCTAAAAAACATTTGGTGATGTACTTTTTTTAAATGTGTTTTTTCTTAAGGAATACAACATTAAGTGTTTAATATAAAACAAAACTCGACTCTCCTGTGTTAAAGCTGCAAATGACGTCATATGAAGGCTTTTCAATAAAGCATAACATAATTACTCCAAAAACACATAGACATTAAAACTATTTAATTAACTATTCCTTCTTTCATCCATAGTCATATAATCTAGATTATGCTCACTACATTGTTGCATGTCTCATGTTTTCCTAGAAATGTGCAGCCCTATGTTCTGGGCTTTGGTAATCAGGCTTCTTATGACTCAGTGCTTTGTGCAATTGCCTTTGTCTACAACTACAAGTTTTACAGGTTGTGGTGGAAAATACATTTTCTGCCACATACCTTTTTTGTATGCATGTTCAGTGTTTAATTTTGAACTTTTCTGGCCAAAGTCCCTTATACCGCTTGTTTGCTGTGTAGCTGACAAACTGGAAGACTCAACGTTATTTCTTTCTACAAAGGCTTTCCTTTTGCTAGACTTCAATAAAGGTTGGATTTGCAGAGCGAAATTACTTCACAATACAGTCTCCATCCTTTACTGTTGATGTCAGTAGCACTCCCAGAGTTACCATGGGCCTTTTGGCTGCTTCTTTAATAACAACTATCCCCACCTGGCCTTTTAAATTACATGCACAGTATCAGTTTGGCTGGGTTGAAGCCATGCAACAAACTTCCCATTGTTTAGGTGATGCACTGAACATTGCTTCTTGCGATCTGCTAGGGAAATTGTTTTTTGACCTACAGCAAGCCTGATTCTTTACAAACCTATTGTGATGAAATATATTCAACCTTTTGTATGTAATCTGAAAAAACAAGTTATAGATATTTTAAAAGACACTGTTCAATGCACTATACTGCAAATATTAGTGAAATAAATGCTATCCAGTTTACGCATACTGCTCATGTCCATTCTTTGTAACATGAATACCAAACAGTTTTTTTTTTCTATTGGAGGTCTTATGGTGTCAGATGTGGCAGAGAAACTCATAAAACCACAAAACCAGATTTATTCATTCATTTTCCATACCGCCTTTATAATATTCAGGGTCAGGGAAGAATGGAGCCTATTCCTGCTGTCACAAGGGGCACAGATCATCAGGCCGGGATACCACACTCTTGATCATTCTAGAATCAGCAATTAACCTAACATGAATTGCAACTCAAAAGGAAACTAGACCACCACGAAAAACAATCTACACAGAGGGGTACATTTAAGCAGAAGCAACCCTGCACAGCTCATTTTAAACCATTGATCCCCTTCCTTTGCAGCCATAATGCTAATCACGACACCACTGTCCACAAATAGGAAGACTTATTTTTTTTCAATATTGCCAACTACTTGGTGTGTTAAAAACCATACATGCTATCTATATTTACAAAACAATGCCACTCTTTTATAGAGAAGTGGGTGACTTAATAGATGGTGCAATGATTGATTGACAGTTATTTAGCCTGTGAAACTATTACACTCTTATTTTTACTGAGGGTTCAGTCATGCATCACAGCCAAGTGGTATATGCTTCACAAAGTTACATATTCCATGTCAAGTCGAGACGGATGAATAAATGTGATGTTTTAGACATTGAATGTTTTCATGGCCTGAATGTTTTAATCATGCTTAAAGAAACAACAACTATATGACAAAAAAACTGTCTGATGATTTGACCATCCAAATGGGCTACTCTTAATTAATCAAGCTTGTAGGTTGTTGAAAGAATTACATGTTAAACACAAAGCTTCAATTTGAAAATGTTTGCATGTTTTATTTTATATAGACTGAAAGCACTAACTCCTTATATAAACAAGTACTTATTTCTGCAATTTGAATCAAGTTATTATTCTCATTATTCCCTACAGGTCCTTCTCAAAATATTAGCATATTGTGATAAAGTTAATTATTTTCCATAATGTATTGATAAAACTTGAATATTCATATATTTTAGATTCATTGTACACTAGCTGAAACATTTCAGGTCTTTTGTTGTCTTAATACGGAAGATTTTGGCATACAGCTCATGAAAACCCCAAATATCACAAAATTACCACATTTCATCCAACCATTAAAAGAAAAGTGTTATTAATACAAAAAAGGTCAACCTTCAAATAATTATTTACAGTTATGCATTCAATACTTGATCGGGGATCCTTTTGCAGTAATTACTGCTTCAATGCGGCGTGGCATGGAGGCAGTCAGCCTGTTCCACTGCTGAGGTGTTATGGAGGCCCAGGATGCTTCAATAGCGGCCTTTAGCTCCTCCAGAGTGTTGGGTCTTGCTACTCTCAACTTTCTCTTCACAATATCCCACAGATTCTCTATGGGGTTCAGGTCAGGTGAGTTGGCAGGCCAATTGAGCACAGTGATACCATGGTCAATAAACCATTTACCAGTGGTTTTGGCACTGTGAGCAGGTGCCAGGTCGTGCTGAAAAAAGAAATCTTTATCTCCATAAAGCTTTTCAGCAGATGGCAGCTCCAAACCCTCCTCATAGCTAGCTGCATTGACCCTGCCCTTAATAAAACCCAGTGGACCTACACAAGCAGCTGACATGCCACCCTAGACCATCACTGACTCTGGGTACTTGACACTAGACTTCTGGGATTTTGGCATTTCCTTCTCCCCAGTTTTCCTCCACACTCTGGCACCTTGATTTCCAAATGACATGCAAAACTGAGCAACAGTCCAGTTCTGCTTCTCTGTAGCCCAGGTCAGGCACCTCTGCCACTGTTTCTGGTTTGAATGTGGCTTGACCTGGGGAATGCGGCACTTGTAGCCCATTTCCTGCACACGCCTGTGCACGGTGGCTCTGGATGTTTCTACTCCAGACTCAGTCCACTGCTTCCGCAGGTCCCCCAAGGTCTGGAATCGGCCATTCTCCACAATCTTCCTCAGGGTCCGGTCACCTCTTCTCATTGTGCAGCATTTTCTGGCACACTTTTTCCTTCCCACTGAGGTGCCTTGATGCAGCACTCTGGGAACAGCCTATTCGTTCAGAAATATCTTTCTGTGTCATACCCTCTAGTTTGAGGGTGTCAATGATGGCCTTCTGGACAGCAGTCAGGTCAGCAGTCTTACCCATGATTGGGGTTTTGAGTGATGAACCAGGCTGGGAGTTTTAAAGGCCTCAGGAATCTTTTGCAGGTATTTAGAGTTAGTTTGTTGATTCAGATGATTAGGTAAATAGCTCGTTTAGAGACCTTTTTCATGATGTGCTAATTTTGAGAGATAGGAATTTTGGGTTTTCATAAGCTGTATGCCAAACTCATCTGTATTAAAACAATAAAAGACCTGAAATGTTTCAGTTTGTGTGCAATGAATCTTAAATATATGAATGTTCAAGTTTTATCATTACATTATGGAAAATAATGAACTTTATCACAATATGCTAATATTTTGAGAAGTACCTGTATGCTGTGCTATGTGTTGCATAATGGTCCATATAGGTATAGTGCTAACCTCATAGTCCAAATCAAGATGATCAAATTCTCCATTAGTCCTGAAGTGTCGAGTATGTCCATCTAAGGAGAAGTTAACATTGCGACGGTAGCGTTCAATCACCACAGAGTGCCAGTGATTGTCATCTAGGAGACTTCCAGTGGTCACAGAAGTATGACCCAGGATAGAGCCATACTGGTTACTGCCTGTAAGACACATGCAAAGAGAGTAACAAAACATCAACATTAACTTATTGAATGTTTATAGATGTTTGAGATTGGCCTGTTTTTCCAGTGTAGTCCTGTGTCTCTGACTGTGACTGGCTGGATGTGCTCTCTTCATCCTCTGACATGGGAGCTCCTTTGCCTGGCTGTGTTTCCTTGATGTGGCCACCTTTTACAGTTGCTTTTTGTATTTCTGCTTCTGTCTCCTTGAACCCCAGTCGGACTCAGCAGATGGCCGCTCACACTGGGCCTGGTACTGCTGGAGGTTTCTTCTCATTAAAAGGGATTTTTTTCCTCTCACTGTCACTACAAGCATGCTTAGTGTGAGGCGTTGCCTTCGAGTCAATGAGTCGATGCAATCAACCTGTTTTCCTTAGATAGAAAACTGAATCAATTTGACTGTATGATCTGGTGAACTGTAAAGTGCCTTGAGATGACATGTGTTGTAAATTGGCGCTATATAAATAAACTGAATTGAATTAAATGCACTGAGGTTTTAGGTGGTGAAAAGGGACCAAATCCAAAATCTGATTATTTTTTTCGAAAAACAAACGCATGAAATTAAGAAGTATCAGGTGGTGTAAAAGGCAACAGTTTTCAGAGGATGACGTTACAAAAATCAGAAGACTGAAATATAGCAACTTCCATCAGTATCAATCAGAGATTTAATAAAGCATAAGCCCTGAGAAGCCGTAGGTTAACAGGGATTTTAAGACACAAAGCAGAGTACACCTCCGCTGTTGTAAAATCTCTGTAACCCATAGAATCAAGGAGCTTATTGCTCTATAAAATGTTCATCCTTCATATTACCAATAAAGAAGAATAAAAATCCCCCCAAACATACACACTTTTAAAACTTTGTTGGTAATAATGAAACAACACAACCACAGAGTTAACAGCATGGTTAGCAAGCAACCAAGGTTCTCTTGGGAAGTTTTTTGCACCGTCTCTCGCCTGAGATTACTGAAGATGACATGGTGCCGGAGTATGGTCTAAAATGCTAATTTATTTAGAAACTTGTAAAAGTTTTTTTAGATTTTGTAATGTTGGTTTGCACCTCCCAGCCACCGTACTGGAGTTTCAACTGGCTGCTTTACAAATTTAAGGAATGTTATGCCACACGTTGCGCCTGTTAATACTAGCACAGCTATATCTAAATGTGGGTCACACTGTATTTCATTACAACATGGAACACGGCTCAGCCAATCACATTTAGGAAGGGAAAACACGTGTTTTACAAAAAGCTATTTAAAGACAAACTGTATTTTATAGAATATCTAATATTTGAAGAGCTATCTGGTATTACTTCAAATTATATCGTTTTTATAAATACCTTTTTAAACATACGGGAATTCAACTGCTACCTGAGAAAAAATGTCTTTAGATGACTTTTTCATTCCCACCAACATGACACCAACAGTTTACTTACCTAAGTTTATCTGCAAGAGTAGCTTGGCCTTACGGAGCTCCAGGGTGATGTAGTCGCCCTGCTGCCCTTCCCCATGGAGAATCACACCCTCGCTCTCTGATGTCTTAAATCTCAATGCGATCACATCTTTTATAATCTTCATCTTCTTCACCTTTAAAAATGTTAACACCAAATTCACATTTCATTGTTCACATACACACAAAAATAAAATAAAATGGCCGTTATTTCAGTACTTATATTTTGTTGGAAATTTTAGTAATTCCTGAGAACCTTCATCAGCAAATTTTAATAATGAATTTATGGATATTGTACCTTGAAACGATATGAAATGACTCCCTGTCCATCAAAGTTGATAACGTCCGCCCCTACAAAAGAACAAAAACATACAGATAAATCATGTGAAGAATAGAGAGAATACAAATTTTTATTACAAAATATATGCTAAGACGACCTCAGGACTACTGAACACCAAATGAATGACTGGTTTTGAAATTTTTGTAAAATAAAAACCACAATGAACTAATTACACCCTTTCATTCTCTTCTAAGTACAAGTGCAGAAAAAGCTGTAATTACTATTAAAATTGTGAGAAAGCATATTCTACAGCTGGTATTTAGTTTCTTTTGTTCAGACAAGTGCAGAAACATGACAGGGCAATGAAACAAGCAGAAAAAAGAGCAGAATGGCTGAGAACATGCCTTAGTATACTTTGTTTTCATGAATATTAACAATAAAATAACAAATGCTAAAATATGCATGAGTATAAATAATAGAATTACTGATGTCCACATCAGCTGAATGTTGTCATTTGTACATGTTGACAAAATGATACAGTGTCTTGCCTTACAAGAAAATGAAAAAGAAAACAGTTTATGTTTTGACTCCTAAAGCTGCCGCACTCAAGATAAGCACCAAAAGGACACCACAGACTGAATGCAATTTTTGGCCATTCAGAGGCGAAATAAAGTGTAGTGGCTGAGCCACCTCCTCCATCTTTTTATCTTAACTCAAAGAGTTCAAGTGGCTAGTGGGAAGAACATTGGTGTGTCTGTGAGAGAGATGGGTTAGAAAATACAGAATGCAAAGGGTAGGATAGAAAATCTGACCGTTATTGACCCATTCGTATAATGTTTCCCAGTCTAATGCATCTGTTTGGCTTTGGACAGTTCTAAAACATTCGGACACTTAGCTAACCTTTTTTAGTGATCAATATTAGATTCCACATAAACTTTCATGTTCTACCTTGTGGCTTGGTTCATACACCCGATGAATAAAGCTCATTGCCAGAATACGTGCAAGAGCACCAAAGGGCATTAAATCAATTCAGCAAAGTGCACCTATTTCAGCACCTTATTTTCAGCTAATACTGAGTTAAAGAGATTTTATTCATATTTTCTTCCCTCAACTTTTTTTTTTTTTTACATAATTAGTAGGCAAGAAATCTCACAGGAAGAAAATGTGTTTCAGAATTAAATACAGATGCCACAGGATGTAAAAGACAATGGAATAAGGAACCTTTTTAACTGAATCACAGTGAGATAAAACGCACAAACGAATTAAGCCCAATCAGAATTTAAAACTATAAATATTTTTAGCTAAATATATTTTACTAAATGAACAGGAAAAATAATAAGAAAGATGAATGCCAGGTTATATTTGCTGGCTCTGCGCTCGTAAGACACTGATAATGTCAAATAAACGAGATGTTTCTGGCTGCAGATCTGCACTGTCAGGACCCAGACCT